CAGATGTGGCTTGGTGCAAAGTTATTGCCAGTTCTTCAGTGTTATTTGTTGAGAGTTCAGTAATCTGACAGCTTGTGGATAATAGCTGTCTTTGAGTCTTTTCGTGAGCAATGGCAGACTCTCGTCTGGCTGAGGGAAATAGATAGAAGAGTCCTTGTGCTGGGTGGGTGTGGTCCTTAATGATGCTGCATGCTTTACGCAGACATCGGCTGTGGTAGATGTCCTGGATGGTGTGGAGACTGCTACCAGTGATGTCCTCTGCTGTTTGCACCACCCTCTGTAGTGCTTTCCAGCTCTGACTGGTGCAGTTCCCACACCACCCTGTGGTGCAGCCTGTTAGCAGGCTCTCAGTGGTGCACCTATAAAAGTTGGTGAGGATGCTGGTGTTTGTACCAAACTTCTTAGTCTTCTAAGGAAGTAGAGTCTTTGTCGGGCTTTACTGACGACAGTGTCTGTATGTAAAGTCCAGGACAGATCCTCAGTAATGTGAATGCCGAGGAACATGAAGCTGCTGATTTGTTCAGCCTCAGCGTCGTTTATATTAAAGGTGGAGTGCTGACCTCCACACTGTTTCCTGAAGTCCACTATCATCTCCTTTGTTTTGCTGACAATTAGAGAGAGGTTATTTTCCTGACACCAGCTGGTCAGTGATTTCACGTCTTCTCTGTAGGAACTCTCGTCATTGTTGGTGATGAAACCCAAGTACAGTATCTGGACTGGAACATCTTTATTAAGTAACTTTGATTCCTTTGGCCCACTCCAGCAGTGGCCACTGGTGGTATATATATATATATATATATATATATATATATGTATATATATACAGGTCCTTCTAAAAAAATTTGCATATTGTGATAAAAGTCATTATTTTCCATAATGTAATGATAAAAATGAAACTTTCACATATTTCAGATTCAGTGCACACCAACTGAAATATTTCAGGTCTTTAATTGTTTTAATACTGATGATTATGGCATACAGCTCATGAAAACCAAAATGCCTGTCCCAAAAAATTAGCATATTTCATCCCACCAATGAAAGACAAGTGTTTTTAATACAAAAAACACCAACCTTCAAATAATCATGTTCAGTTATGCACTCAATTCTTGGTCGGGAATCCTTTTGCATGAATGACTGCTTCAATGCGGCGTGGCATGGAGGCAATCAGCCTGTGGCACTGCTGAGGTGTTATGGAGGCCCAGGATGCTTCGATAGCGGCCTTAAGCTCATCCAGAGTGTTGGGTCTTGCGTCTCTCAACTTTCTCTTCACAATATCCCACAGGTTCTCTATGGGGTTCAGGTCAGGAGAGTTGGCAGGCCAATTGAGCACAGTAATACCATGGTCAGTAAACCATTTACCAGTGGTTTTGGCACTGTGAGCAGGTGCCATGTTGTGCTGAAAAATGAATTCTTCATCTCCATAAAGCTTTTCAGCAGATGGAAGCATGAAGTGCTCCAAAATCTCCTGATAGCTAGCTGCATTGACCCTGCGCTTGATAAAACACAGTGGACCAACACCAACAGCTGACATGGCACCCCAGACCATCACTGACTGTGGGTGCTTCACACTGGACTTCTGGCATTTTGGCATTTCCTTCTCCTCAGTCTTCCTCCAGACTCTGGCACCTTGATTTCCGAATGACATGCAAAATTTGCTTTCATCCGAAAAAAGTACTTTGGACCACTGAGCAACAGTCCAGTGCTGCTTCTCTGTAGCCCAGGTCAGGCGCTTCTGCCGCTGTTTCTGGTTCAAAAGTGGCTTGACCTGGGGAATGTGGCACCTGTAGCCCATTTCCTGCACACGCCTGTGCACGGTGGCTCTGGATGTTTCTACTCCAGACTCAGTCCACTGCTTCCGCAGGTCCTCCAAGGTCTGGAATCGGCCCTTCTCCACAATCCTCCTCAGGGTCCGGTCACCTCTTCTCGTTATGCAGAGTTTTCTGCCACACTTTTCCCTTCCCACAGACGTGCCTTGATACAGCACTCTGGGAACAGCCTATTCGTTCAGCAATTTCTTTCTGTGTCTTACCCTCTTGCTTGAGGGTGTCAATGATGGCCTTCTGGACAGCAGTCAGGTCGGCAGTCATACCCAGGATTGCGGTTTTGAGTAATGAACAAGGATGGGAGTTTTAAAAACCTCAGGAATCTTTTGCAGGCGTTTATAGTTATGTTCATTCAGATGGTTAGATTAATAGCTTGTTTAGAGAACCTTTTCATGATATGCCAAATATTTGGGACTGGCATTTTGGGTTTTCATGAGCTGTATGCCATAATCTTCAGTATTAAAACAATGACCTGAAATATTTCAGTTGGTGTGCAATGAATCTGAAATATATGAAAGTTTCATTGTTATTATGGAAAATAATGACCTTTATCACAATATGCTAATTTTTTTAGTAGGATCTGTGTACACGTACACACTATAAGCAATTTAGGACAAATTAAACCCTGCAAAACTTCACAAGCTATGTCCAAACACTGAGCACACTTCCCAGTTTGAACCGTTGGCTGCACATTAACAAAACTCCCATATCGTTCCAGCTTTTTCAGCAGTAAATCATGATTTATTGTGTTCAAAGCTTTAATATAAACAAACATTCCAGCAGCATTTATTTTTTTATTGTCAACAGCAGTTATTTCTTCCAACACTTCCATATGGCTAGTGTTGATTGTTTTGATCTGAACCCATATGTAACAAACCCCTTCTAGTTTGGACCAAAAACCACCACACAAAAGAAAATTAAATAGAATTTATTTTCTAGGAGAGATATTGCAGATTGGACCGGTTCTGCTTTGGGTTCTGGTACTGGTTCCAGATCAGGGACAAGTCTATAAGAGAGAGATTGGTTAGTGGTCGTGCAGGAGTTTATGGGGAGCAGAAAAGTCAAATAAGGACCACCAACCGTCTCGGATGATCCTGGGGGTTCTGGAGAGTAACAAAGTCCAAACTGATCTGGACCGCTGCAGGAGAGGCCGAGTCCGGTGAGGGGCTGCAGCGACAGGTGGGTGGTGAGTCCGTTGAGCGCAGAGACGTGGTCACACAAGCCTGGGTCCAAAACCGGAGAGCAGATGACAGGACGTACCGGAGGAGAAGACGAGGAGGCGTAGTCGTACAGGTAAAGGTCTGAACCGAAGACAGAAGACGTGGTAATCCAAAGGGTCGAGCAAAAGACGACGTCCGGGTTAGTCGTGGGTTCAGGAGCCAGGAGGTCAAGCCAAGAGGGAAGGACATGAACCAGGAGAGGGACAGGAACCAGGAGAGGGACAGGTAAACTATAACAAGGGGACATGAAAGGCTAAAGGGGAACAAGGCAGGATGAGTAACACGAGTTATCTACTTACAGTGAACTGTTTTCAACTACCGGGCACCGAAGAGGAGAAAGAGTGCAGCTTTTAAAGGGTGTGAGAGACAGGTGCAGCCAGTTGAGTTCAATCAGCTGCTGCTGGCTGCAGTGAAGACAAAACTAAACAACCGTGACATCACCCTCAACCAGCATGCAAAGAAGACAAACTAAAACTCACGTATATATAAACAAACATTACCTGAGTGGACAGAATAAATTAAACTTACAGATAAGATCTATTGCAAACTTTAAAGGGTGATCAGGGTGACAGAAAATATAACCTATGGAACGTAATTCGTGACACCATATTGAGATCTAGTCATGAATTCATGTTTTTCTAAGAATGTTTTCAATCTATTATTAAACATTGTTTCCAAAACATGCAACCTGACCAGGGTGTACCCCGCCCCATGCACACCGATTGCTGGACACCAGCAAACCCTGTGACCCAAAATGGAAGAAGCGAGTAAAGATAATGGATGGATGGATGAATCAGTGAATCTTTTATTTTTACATTTTACATTTCACTCTCTCACTCACACCTAGGGACAATTTAGAGTTACCAGTCAGTCTAACATGCATGTTTTTGGTCTGTGGGAGGAAACTGGAGTACCCAGAAAAAACCCACGAGTGCACGGATAGAACATACAAACTCCACTCTGAAGGGAACCTGGACCAGGATTTGAACAAGGGACCTGCTCGCGGAGAGGTGGCAGCTCTATCAACTGCTGCTCCTGCTGCCAAAATTTTAAACATTCATCCATCCATCCATCCATCCATCCATCCATCCATTGTCTTTACCCGCTTATTCCATTTTGGGTCACGGGGGTCGCTGGTGCTCATGTCCAGCAATCACTGTGCGAGGGGCGGGGTACACCCTGGACAGGTCTCCAGTCCATCACAGGGACACATAGAGACAAACAACCATTCACTCTCTCACTCACACCAAGGGACAATTTAGAGTTACCAATCAGCCTAACATGCATGTTTTTGGACTGTGGGAGGAAACCGGAGCACCCGGAGAAAACCCATGCATGCACGGAGAGAACATACAAACTCCACTCTGAAGGGATCCTGGACCGGAATTTGAACCAGGGACCTGCTCGCTGAGAGGCAGCAGCTCTATCAACTGCTGCCACTGCTGCCTAAATTTGAAACATTTGGAATTAAATTTGACTAATGTTAGTACTTATTCTTCACAAGGGGGCAGTATTGCCTTTTGTTTCAATAATTCATACTGGGAAGAAGAGTACAATGTTTTTGACACCTGTTGAGAACCAGTATCTAAAATCATGATTACTAAAATACCTTTTTTGATTTATGGAATTTAATTTCTTTGTCATGACTAACCTGTTAAAGCTAGTTAAACCTGCATTTGGTTTGCATTTTAAAACGGAACCACATGGAGTTTCTTTTCAGCAAGTTGAGTTAATCAAAACAGCATAAATTAACCTAATTAGATGCCTGAAATGATAAAATGTTCTGTTTTTTTATCAACGTTTTTGTTTTGTTCTAAAGCAAGCAAGTGCAGGTGTTAGTCGAGCAGCATTATGAGTCTAGAATAATTTGACAATATCTCGGGTATTTGTGTTGATGCTCAACATGTTTAATGTTGTTTTAGAGTAAAAATAAATGTGTTTCACATCATTAGTTTGTTTACAGAGCCTTTTCCATGGTTGACTTGATCCAGTCTATGAAGTCAGGGATCTTGGTATATCGAAACATTGCAGGCCCGTGATTGTATGGCTTGAGAAAGGAGGACACCACTCCAAAAGCCCTCTCATCTTCACAGACCAATGGACCTCCAGAGTCTCCCTTAAAAAAAAACACATAATACAGAGATTGTTTGAAATGAGAAGTAAAGTTATTGTTAGCAAAGTTTATTAGTTGATTTCCCGTTCTAAAATATACATACCTGACCTGGTCCTGTTTCTTCCATAGAGCAGTATGACTTTCCTTTTGCACAATTCTCACTGTTAAACAGTGTTACATTAAGTTCCATGAGGTTGGTGGACAATTGGTCTTTTACCCAGTCAGTTTGTCCCCAGCCAGAGACAAAACATTTCTGAGGAAGATATCCACTGTCTTGGTATGCCAGAGCAATGGGTTTCACATTTTTTGTGACATTTACCTTGGATTTCAACTTAAAACATGGTGAGAAAACAAAAAAGAAATAGAAAACTTTGATTTAATCACGGCACATGAAAAAGAAACATTGATTTGCATATTCCCGTAACCCTCCAGCCAGCGGTGTAAGCTTCAGATTGTTGGAGACATTCGCAAATGTCACAATATAAATAAGGAATGACAGTAAACACAGAAATGAAAGATGAGATGTATTTATTATCCTTTATTTAACCAGGCAAATTCCATTGAAATCACAGATTTTGCAAGGGAAGCCTGGGTCTGAACGCAGCCTAACATGCATAGAAACATACATTTCTTCCTACCTTAAGAAGCATTATATCATTAGTGAATGTTGAGTCGTCGTAATCCACATGTGGGAATGCTTGTTGCACAGGGATGGTAGCCTCAGGTGTATGTGTGTTGTGAAGTCCTAGTTTAGCAACTGCACTCCTGTAATGAAAAACAAAACCAAAATGCCTAGCTTACTAATTTAATCAAAAGAGTAAATCAGCTTAGCTTGCATTGAATACTCTACATTGTTTGACATGAATCTTGTTATAAATGTAAAACCAATTTTTAAACTGACTTAGCTTGGCAATGTGCTGCAGTCATCACAAAATTCTCATTTAAAAGAAATCCGCCACAAAATCGTTTTGGACCAGCTGAATTGTGCATCTCCAAAAACACCATGTATGGTCTACTATGTTCCTTAGCCTCGTGGCCTCCAATGATTCTTCCTGCATGAACTGGAGAGAAGTGGTGGAAGTATGAGTACACTTAAATAAAACACATTGTTCAAATCTGTTGTTTGTCCAATGATTGTACTTTCTGTTTTACATTAAAGGAAGTTGACTACACATTTAATTTGTGAAATCTACAAACAGGGTATTTTGGTGTAATGTGCAAGCTTTTAAGATTAAATTAATGTATGCTATTGCTTTTAAAAAGTACAAGTGAAGTATTACCTTGATTTGGAAGAATCAGCACAACCATCAGTGCAGCTAGTTTACTGAGAAGGAACATGATGAGCTGCAGTGACAAATCTCACCCACAATCTCAGACAGTTTCAGCCTCCCTCCTTTTAAAGGGTAAAGGAGGTCTTTCATTTGCATATGCAGATTACGTTGTTTTGAAGCACTTTCATATTAAGGGCATTTACCGAAAGAGCCCCACAATATATTACTTATGTATA